TGTAATTTGCATTTCTTTTAAAATATGAGAATTTAATACCGTAGTTACGCAATGGATCAAGTAATTTTGTATGTCGTGTGAAGTTCCTTTAAAAACAGAATTTGTCAAAAAGTGTTCTCTTATAAATTGCTCTTCTTTAGAAAGTAAATCTAAAATTTCACAATAATTTCGTTTATTTAAAGAACCTTCATTCTCGCGATGTCCGCGGAATGCCAATTCTTGTTTCCCTAAAAAACAAACTACATCGATTAAACGAGCTAATATCTTTCTGTTTATGTCCACTTGTTTATTATGATTAATTGCAGTTAACCGACGACCCTCAGATATTGAGTGTTCAATCCTATTTTTACCCAGMATATGAAAACTTTTTTTGTTAGTTAGGTGTGTTTTTGAAATTTGGTGTTTTTCAGCTTTGCGAACTAAGTTTTTAATATTAGGAATACCATTTATACTCCACTCATCCTCTCCTCTGAACAAGATACATATGTAACAGTATCATTTCTTTCTTTCAATGCTTCCCGCTAACCAGTTAAATTTTGAATACCAAGACGATTGAAATTTTCTTAAAGTTTTTGCTTCTTTATATTCTATTGATAAATGTGGCGTTGGGCTCTTACCTTTTAAATTGTATTTTTCTTCATACGAAAAAGAACCAAGACCTTTATTTAAAATAATATCTGACATATTAAGTTTTAAATGTATATCACTCCATTAAGAAAAAATTATTAACATTAAACATGTGCTATTAACCACAGTCGGAATGTAATTAAATTATTAAAATATTACGTTGAGACATGTCTCTTCCATACATATAATTTTGGTAATATCACACTACGTCCCCCGTTTACCTTGTCATACGCCCGTCATCAATAGTGAGACACAATTCAATATGTCTCGTCCGATTTGACGGCGACAACGGAGCGATTACGGTATAGATAAGATATAAATAAAATTTTACTATATATATTTAATCATACTCGCTACTCACACAGACACTTTAGAGACGAATCAGTGTTAATAACATTTTATTTATAAAATTATGAAGAAATAAAATACATATATAGTAGGTATCATATTATAATAAACAACTAATTTTTAAAATTAAATTGTTTGATATTTTTGGGTAGACAATGTCTCATTGTCTACCCTAACGCGCTGCCACTGGAAAATAGCATTAGATTAATCAAACTTTTTTATAATTTAATTGAGTGAATAAAATCTAATATTATAAATTAACATTATTTTGAAAAGTATTGTGAATTTTTAATTTTGACCTCTAAGTCTAACTATTCTATTTAAAATTTTACCAAGTACAAAATATATCCAGTTTGGTAATTGAAACCATTTTCAAATTTGAATATAATAACATTTTTTTACTAAACGTGAGAATAAAAAAATCAGTATCGCTCTGCTGACTGTTGTACAGTAGTTTACAAGTAGTTTACTGCAATGGTTATTATTAGATTTAAATCCAATGATATATTATAATTGTATATGAAAAACGATTCTGAGCGGAGAAGTTTTGTCAGTCTATGTCTCTATGATACTTTACAATTGTATACTATATTAATTATGTTGCTATTATTTAAAAAAAGCGGGAAAGTGGTATCGCTCTGCTGTACATTAGGGGTGGACCTCTGACTAGGGTAGGTTAGATTTGAATGCAATGATAGG